CAGAGCCAGACAGGCGCAGAATGAACAAATGGACACGTCTGTCCTGGGGACTGATGCTGGCCAGTACATTCTCGCCTCTGGGCAAACAGAATCACAGCAAACTACGAGAGAGCACCAAGCGCCCTCAAGTTCTACGCTGGAGTTCTCCGGCAGTGGAGTCCCGCGCGGAGGCCGCAGCACACCTGTTGAAGACGCAGCTGTACAGCACACTACGGTCCTTACTGCTCAGTCCACGGACAATGTGGTAAGACCAGAAAGTAATGGACAGACAACACAGCCACAGCCAAGTAGAGAAGACACTCCAGTCATACAGAGAGCGCAACCTGTGCTCCGGGTGACCGCGGAGACCAACGCGTCCCACACGCCACTGTCTGGTGGCGCAGTGCAGATACACTTTCCCCGTTTGAGATTGGAGACACCATCACCCAGGAACACAGGGCATCCACAAAATACACCAAACTCCCACGACACCAACTCGGTTTTCTATAACGCAAATATACCAAACCGCAGAACCAGCCCCCCTGCCAGAAACCCCCCAGGGACTGGATATGGGACAAGATTCTTCCACAGCGGTGAGAAAATTTTGTTGTCGTGCTATATCAATATTTAACCTCTGGGGCAATTTTGCCAGAAAATGTTTTTGTCTTTCTTTTACCTAGGTTTACCTGATTTGGTTCCAGACCCTTACTTCATTCAGGCATCTTCTTACATCCATAGAATGCAGATGTATGCTCTGCGTTGTGCAGCTGAGGAGAACTGCCTCTCCAGGTGCATTCAACTTTTAACAATTTTGAATGCAAGGTAATTTAGGGCTACTAGTCCAGTTTGCAGCTGAGTGACAGAGCAGTAGTGACCTCTTGGTTTTAGTCACTGGACCAAAAGGCAAAGGATTCCTGAGGTGAAAGCCAAATTTAAAAGGGTCAGCTTCCACCATAAATCTCTATTATGGCTATGACAGAGGTGGAATGTTTTTGTGTGCTGTGGAACATTGAGGTAAACATAGAAAACAAAAGTAAATTGCAGAAGGAGACTCAGTTGTGTTTTCTTGAAGTACTTTATTATTTGGCCTACATAACTTTTCTTTTTTGTTTTTTTATCACCAGCTCTGCGTATCGGCCTGGTGTCAGTGACCTGGAGTACAGGGTCTTGTTGAGATTCCCACAGCGAGTGAAGAACCAGGGAACTGCGGACTTCCTTCCACTGAGACCCAGGCATGAGTGGGAATGGCACAGCTGTCACCAGTAAGTAATAACCTCTTCTCTTCTTTACCACGAAAAGACTATATATAGGTTTACCTTCAACTGTCAACACTTTAAGGCACTATCACAGTATGGAGGCCTTCAGTACATATGACCTGTTGGATGTCTCCACTGGGCTCAGAGTGGCCCAAGGACATAAAGCCAGTTTCTGCCTGGAGGACACCACATGTGACCCAGGAATACGGAGACGCTATGCCTGCACTGCTCATACACAGGTATAACCCACCTCAGTATAATTCGCTATCAGGAATGACAAGGCCTGTCATGATAACAGATTTTGATTGAACGATACAGAGATATACTGCGATAAATGATAATATTGGAACTACTCATCTACAGCTAGCCACTGACATCTTAAACTTAAACTTGGACAAATTTTATTTATCCACAAGGGAAATTGTTTGGACTTAGATCACACATCACAGTATAGTAATATAATAACAAAGAGAAAAAATATACATAGTAATAATAAATTAAGCAGCAATAAGTAGCAAAATTGCGAGAGACTGGTGTCAAATCAAATAAAGGTAACAGTAATACAAGATAATCCCAGTAAACCATTTTTAAATCGACAGTATCATTAAAAGGCCTGAGCTGCAACAAATAAATAGCAGAATGAACCAATAATTAGTCATACAAGTGACTTATTCAACCTTTTACAGGCCAGATCTTAATGTATTACATAACAACAACAACAACAAAAAATACCCCAAATCTCCAAATTTTTACAAAGAAATTGTACACACAATTAATAGTGAGTCCCAAAATATATTGTTCAAGCTTTCATATATTGAACAATAAATCAAAACAGTATTTATTGTGACAGGTCTAGAAATACCTATAATGAACTTATGCTTTTAGGGGCTTGGTCCAGGTTGTTATGACACTTATCATGCCAACATTGACTGCCAGTGGATTGACATAACTGATGTGCCACCAGGAAACTACGTTCTTAAGGTGTGAGATGCTTTGCTTGTAAATAATAAAAATATATGCATGAAAGTAATTTTATATTTGCATTTAGGTGATGGTAAACCCCTCCCATCTGGTTGAAGAGTCAGACTTCACCAACAATGTAGTCCAATGTGACGTGAGATACACAGGGAGCTACGTTCAGACCAGAAACTGCAGGATTACTCTGTAAGGATCCAGTATTTAAATTCAAATATTGTAAATTGTAGGTTCATTTAGATGCCGGTGCTTTGTTTTGTAGAAGCTGATAGTATGAAGAAAGTGGCTGCATCAACACTAATGTTTTTAATATGGGTTATTTATGTTGAACGCAGAATAAATTGCAATAATATTTTTTATTTATGCAATCGTTAATCAATGCAATATGTTTGTTTTGTATTCAGACCCAGTGTGTTAATTATTTAAGAATTTAAACTATGTTGTGTATTACATGAACAGTACAAACAAGTATGATATTTGCAATGAGATTAGTGATTGTTCATTTTTAGTCTTGTTTTTTATAATTAAGGCTCTGATTTGCTCTTGGTTTTAACACTGTTTGTCTCCATCACAATTTGTGAAGGTGCATTTCTGAAATACTGTTTGAATAACACATTACAACATCGGAATGGCAAACAAGCTTCACAGTGTATCCTTGTCTCTCACATTAAAGACGTGCAAAAACATTTATTCACCTGGCAAAAAACCTATGTTCTGCTGGGGCCTGAGAGCAATGTGTCCTTGCTTTATTAAACATAGTGACTCATATTCAGAATTCTAAATGGGATCTTTCTTGTTCTTTGTCTAATACAAGAGCAACCTTTTCAGTTATGAACAGAATAAAAGTAAAAAGACAAGGTGTTTGATAGTGACTAAGAATAATAAACTTTTGTTTTTATAAACCAAAACACTGCTATGGGTTGAGGTAATGGAGAAGACGCCTTTTTTCTTCATTCTTATGTATAAGTAGACCTAACATCTCTCAGCCCCACTTGCTTAGACTGCAAACACTATGGAAAACAGATGTGGATGAAACATGCCCAATAGTAAAATATACATCATATAGTTTCCACCAAAGGCTGACCATAGTGTGTCGGTTGAATCTTATGTCTTTGTCTTTCTGTCAAACTCAAACCCTATATGAGTTCATGGAGATACTGATACGAACCTGAGTGTGACAGACTCTGCCCCAGCTGTTTGGTGCAGACTGAGCTCAGAGGCTATGGGACACTGTGGTCCTGTGGACAGTGGCGTGGAGGAGAGAAATTCCACAGATTCACAGACGGCCTGGAAAATCTGACGATGAGCTGCTGACATCAGCAGCACCAGGACTACATCAGTCTTATCATGGGCAGAGCATCTGTGTGGCAGCACAGGCCCACCACAGAGTCTGAGCCAAAAGGACACACTGTGAGACACATGGTTTGTTCTGCTGGAGACACAGCTGAACAATTATTTCACATGGACTTGCAGCTGATGGGCTATTCAAACTGCATTAGCCAATTATTTATTATTAGACAAACAGACGTGTCAAGTGTGCATATTGTTTACAACAATGTTAAAGATATGTTTACACAACTTCATAAGTATCAATGAGTTTACATATTAACAAGATCAGAAAACTGTAGTTTCCAAATGCAGTCTTTGACCAGTTTAACAACCAAGATCAAAATTTCTGGACTGTGACAGATCCCTGAGTGTGCAGTGAAACTTCATTAGACTTTTGTGTTTGATGATTCAGTCCTTGTTTGTCCAGTCAGACTTGCGGACAGGAAAGGCCTTGTTAATGTGGCGTGAGTGGAGGGGACTGTTTTATGGAGTGCTTGACATTCGAACCTGTGGCTTATTTTCCTGGGCAAGATGAGAGCAGACCATTAACTAGCTTTCCTGTTGGAAATAGAGCAGTATGTGCTTTAGGTTCCGTTTGTAGCCACTGTTCGAGTATTCAAGAAGCTGCCCAAGTGGAAGTCTGTCTGTAATTGTGTGTTATTTTTGGGTAAAGAGTAGAGATTTGTCACCCCAAACTGACCTTGAGGAGGGTGACTGCTGAGAGGGAAGAGGGCTGACAGGTTGTTCAGCTGAGGCTTGTTTCGTTAGAATGTGCATATGGTTTTACAGGTTTCACACCAGAGTGCAAGACATTTTACCAAACATCTGCCTACATGCCATGAAGAGGACATTTCAGGCCCAGACATACTGTATATAAACAATAAAAGACATAAACAGACATGGAGACTCTGACACTACACACTGTTCAGTCTTAACATAGGCTGAATATTATGTCTGTTTTGCATCATCATTATCCAGCTAACATGAGGGTTGTTTTCTGAATGACCTCACACTTAATATGCAAAAAGAAGAAGAAGAAGAATGTCTGTCTTATTATTAAGCATATTTTCTGACACAAATGTAGGATTAGATTAACTGAGCCATAGACTATTCTAACTTCAAACTTTAAGCAGGCAATATATGTATAGATCTATTAATTATGCAAGGCATTTTTTTCTATATCTTTGCTATGATTAAAAAAATTAAAAAATAAAAATTAAGTCTCACAGAAGAAAGTGTTAGGCCTAGATTTTCATTTTATGCATGTCAAGTGACCTCGTGTGGTTATAATGGGTACTGTCTTTACAAACAACAACAAAAACCGATAGGAGTTTCTCCTGTATAACCACCATATTTTAGGCCTAACACACAAATATTAGTAAATAATGTGAATAATGTGATTAACCTGCATCTGGTCAGATTTTCTTCCATTCAGATTTTTTTCTGCACTACCCTCTTGGTGACGTCATATTCCCTCGACAAAACACACCGGTGCTGCCGAGATCTGCACAATCCGTTTCGAGCAGGATCCAAAGGCGACCTCAAACATGTTTTGCACAGTTACTTTTTCATCTTCTATGGCATTTATTTTTGTTTTAGTGCTTGCTACAACTGAAGCTTCTTCGGAGAAGACCAAAACGGTGGAGTTTAATGTGAAACCCGGAGGAGTGGTGCACACTTTCAAAGAGGGAATTGTGAGTTTTTTTTAACATAAATATGCGACCCATTCTTCTGGTTTGCTCAATAAAACAAACGCTGTTTTGTTTGGGTGATCAGTACATTTAACGTTTATCGTCCATAAAAAACATATATTCTTGTAATTTCGGCAACAAAATGGTAAAAACTACATTCCATCGCTCAGTTTTAGTCGCATTATTATGACAATCCACCCTGTGAGCGTCTGACACGTAGCTGCCCAGATGCCACAACTGCTTCATTCATTGGCTGAAATAAAGGCTATTTTACTTTCTAGTGAAGGTGTTAAGTATAATTATCTGTAGACTAGTGTTTTTTCTGCTAAAAACGTAGCGAAATGGTCTACATACAGGAGATTTAGGTTTTGGATATGTCAAAATGTAATCTGTAAATGTTCAATAATCGTCATCACTTCCATTATTATTACATTATTACAGGGCAAATACGAATGTTCATTCACATACGCTGCACAAGGGGGAACCAATGAGGTGAGCTTTCCACATCTACGTCTAATAAATGAGACATTACAAGGGACATTACTCCATTGATTTTTTTTTAAATTTTATTTTTTTACAAACAGGATTGGTTGATGAGTGTTGGGCTTAGTGATGATGACAGGCTATTTTCTTGCTCTTTGTGGAGGTGAGTGTTATTACAAGTTTCCATAGTCACATAGGCCAACATTCATGCACCTTAAATAAATGTCAGCATAAAATTGATAGTTGATTGTGTGCTGTAATAGTTTACTTTGTTTATTTTCATCCAGGCCACAGGGAAAATCATACCTGTTTTTCACTCAGTTCAAAGCTGAAATGAAAGGAACCAAAATTGAATACGCCAGTGCATATGTAAGTAATAATGACTACATCATTGTTCTTTTGCAAATGTCTGAACACAAGTTGGCCCAGTTATAGAAGTCCAGTCTAAAACAGATAAGTTGATTCTGATATGTGCTTTGTACACTTGTCACTTTTTGTGTAGAGATAAAAGGGTTGCATTCAAAAATGTGAGGCGTCTGCATAAATGCCATGAACTCGAAATTCTGATTGATCAACATTTCTCCGAAACAAGCAAACAATAAGATAAACACAACATACAATATACAGGTTTGACAGGTTTTATTGCCCAGTTACTTTCATTTTCAAAGAAACAGTCTCTGGTATGCAGCAGAAAAGTGTCAAAGAGAAGGAACAAAGCAAAACAAAAACAGCAGCAATTCTAATGATATAGTTTGTTCACTCGTCCACAGGGAGCCCCTGTCACTGTGGTACATAAACAGCTTATAAATGCCACAAAGAATCAGCAGCAAGTATCAAGGCAAATGTGCACTGATGGATCAACTGCAACTTTTTCATTTTTGACCAAAGATGGTGCTTGTAGCTCTGTGGGTAAACAAGAATGTGAAAGTTGTCCTGCTAGTATACATAGAACAAAGGCTACTACTGTCTTTACTTCTGTCTTATGGTATTAACACAATCTTGGTGGCACTAACAGAACTGATACTTTATTTTTATAAATACTATTAAGGTTATTTCAGTGCACAAATGTACTTAATAGTTCATATTTTATTTAGAAACAAAATTATAAAGAGACTCCAGACTTCTGTTCTTTTGCTTTTTTAAATTTTTCATTATTATTTATAAGTCATATCAGTAATATAGAGCATTTCATGTAGCTGACCTTACAGTCCTGAGAATCAAATTGTCTCATTTCTTCATGAAACCTCTCAGGTGTTCCATAGTTATAGGTTCTTCTATAGATTTACGTTCCTTATTGTAGGATGTATTTGTTGAAAAGACAGTTCTTCAGCTTGGATGTATTGGATGTATGATGGTAAATTAATGTCTAGACATCTTCTAAGCTGTCTGTAGTGGTCATCGATGGCGTAAATCACACCTTGACACGCCTCCTTCCCCAGCAAGGACGGAGCAGGCACTTTGTCATTAAACAGAGTATATTTCCTCCGGCTGCACTGGCTCTGGGCCCTGGAACAAAATGTGAACACACAGAGAATAACTTCAATAAATAATGATGACAAAAATATGCCCTCATGCACAAACACACCTGCCACCCCCGCACCAAATCTCCTTGACCTTGTCTCATCCTCCTACTTCACTGACCGTCTGTTGCTACGTCTCCTCCTGCTCTGCTTTGTCTACACTTGCTCTTTAAAACTATTGCTCTATGTGTGTGTAGTCACTGTGAAATTTTATCATGGCAGTACTGTATTAAACATTAAATTTTCCTTTGGGTTTCTGACAACATGATTTTAAAGAGATGTTTCTTCATTTTGTCTGGGACCTTATAGTAAATGTGCAGTGCATAGAAGTCTGGCATTTGGGGTCTATCAAGTATAGATTACACATTTAGAGTAGGTTTATCCACTGGTTTGTAATCCTGAGATTTAAGTGATTAATCCCCTAATATCAACATCATCATATACACACACACAGTTACATTTATGTGAGTCCTACTTTGTCCTCTCCTGTTTTACACTTGCTCTTTATAACTTCTGCTTGATATGTGTCTAGTCACAGACAGGACACAGTGACGTGCCACTGAGGCCAGAAGAGTTTACCATAGGCGACTCTACAGGTGAGGAACTGACTATATTTACAACTCCATCTGATTGTCAATCACTCACACTCTCACCCCTCCCTCTCCCTCACTGCAAGAGGTTCCACTGATTTGCTTCTTAAGCACATACTTCAGCTGTGAGTGGGCTGCATTTGTCCCTGAAGAAGTATTTGTAGCTATTCTGTTTTTAGTTTTTGTTGTTTTTTCATAAATTCTGTATGTATGCAGGTGTGGTCAGTGATTAACAGGATTTGTCAAGTCACATAGCAATTCTTTATAACATTAACATTTTAACTTCTAATTTGTTCAAGCTTCACAGCACAGGAACTTAGTGTCACAAACCCAGGCAATAATACAGATGTAATCCCAACTGAGATATTGAGGCAAATGCCTCATAACTCTTATACAAAGGCTTTTCGTAGTAGAAAGTATACTTCACCAGCTATGTTGTAGTGCTCCACAAGGAGGAGCTGTCCAGTCATTGCTCATCTAGTTTTGATAAGTAGGCAGAGTACATTTGTAGTACTGTAAATATATGTTGAGTGGTATGCTTTACCTCATATATTGTTATCTGTTACTGGAAATGGACCAGCTATAATTTAGTAAATTATGTTTTCACTTAGTAGTTGCAGAATAAAAATGTATAAATTATCTAATTAAGGAACACTGGTATTGCACACGTTGCCTGATACTTTACATAGGACTCATCTGGCTCCATATATCCTCTGACATAATTTTTGGAGTCAAACTACACTGCAGGCTGGACTGAAGCTGTGGCTGAAAAACTGCTGCTGCAGCAGCTTTGCAACAGGGTGACACTGGTTCAGGTGCTTTCCTCCACACTGCAGCCTTTATTTTGTTCCATACTAATTAACTTTCTTTCCTCTTGTTTCCAGTGACCCAGACTGATGGAAAGTTCAGCGCCCAGCTCTCAAAGCTCACTGTGATTGGACGAACAGGACATGATGAGCTGTAATTGGTCAGGAGTGTGACTGTGCTTCAGCTGCATGGGACCAGAGTTTGAGCCCTGTAGTAGATGAAGGACACTGTGACTCTCCTGAGTGACACTTCAAAGGCGCAGCGCTATGAAATTCTGCTTTTATCGTGGCAGCACTGTATTTTGTTACATTAATTACATGCCCTTTCTACTACAATGGATTTATCGGAGCACAGCTAGACATAAAACTGATTTTTCTTTGTCCTTCTCTGATATAAAACATGTTTTGTAATTTTCCCTGGGACAATATAGTATAGAGGCCTGGCATTGGGGGTTTGTAGGGTATAGATTACATATTTAGAGTAGGCCAGGATTTACCCGCTGGTTTGTAATCCTGAGAGGAAAGTGAATAATAATCCCTAATATCATCAGTATACACACACAGTTACATTTATCTCAGTCCTACTTTGTTCTGAGCTGCTATTAAGAAGAGCTCTTCCTTCCTTCTGTTTATTTGAATCTGCTCTAAATAACTCCTAAGCTTCACATATGATCCCAACAGGAACGTTAATGACTTGTTTTTACCAGATGAAGAAATACTCAAAAGTTACATAAATCTAAGTTGAATAGAAAAAAAAAAAAATTTTTTTAATTTATACCATAGCGCAAAACTTATGTGCTCTTGCTGCACATTTTAAATTCATAAATTCCTTTTTTTCACAAGTTCTTTTCTGTTTCTAATACCTCCACAAATGCACTGTTTGAAGTTCAGCTAAAAATTCATTCAGAAGAAGTGGGTTTGCACCGAGGCAGATGCCCTGAAGCTTTCATCCTGCACATCTCCACGTGTGCAGATCAGCAGGGATATCGTCAGAGTTTCTGAAGTAGCTCATTATCACAAGTCCCTGTCCAGACGCTAGGACTTTCTTATGTAAAGAACGACCTTTATCTCGCCCCCATTGATCCAGCCTTAGATCCCCCACCAGTGTCCGGAGAATGACTTCTGCCATTGATTTCAAATTGGAGGATTTAGCTGATTTGAGGTTGTTAGGTTAGCGACATGCAGTATGTACCTTGTTAGTCCAGGTGTGTGTCAGATGTGATCCTCTTGGGCTCAGGAAGTTCTCTGGAGAACTATCCCTTTGTCATCGGCAGGCTCCCATTTACAGAGACTGACCCAAAATAGATGGAAAATACACAATCGGTTACTCAATTTGTACTGTTTATTTTCCTACTTCCTGAATTGTTTCATTATGAAATATGATGGGTGTTTCAATAAAGACAAAACAAGATCAATTCTGTATTTTGTGTCTGTTAGCAACAAGACAAATTGAATTGAAGAAGCATTAAATATTCATATGCTAAGATGGCTGTGGCCAAAATGAACTTGACATGGGCCTTTTTATGCTCCTTGCCACATCTGCCTAAAATACAAATAATTTTAGCCCTGACACTAATGTACGCTGAATACAAGATGCTTTTCTTCACAGTAGGGGAATAGTCAGAATACAAATTGGACTTGACACAAACTTATTTTTAAGAAAGCACTTTCTTGAAAGAAATCTTTTTGCATAACCAATTAACATACAATTGTCCACATATAATTGTTTCTGTGTGATAAAGAGCCTCTATTGTTTTGTCTTAATTTCAGGGAGGAAGGGCTTTGCAGGATGGATCTACTAAATCCACTAGCACATATGGGAATGTATAGACCACTGATCTATCCGGGCTTACAGAGATATAGTGCCAAGAGGGATTTATTCATCTAATGTTAAGCCAGGGGAAAATCCGTAATCTTGATTGTCCTTTAATTGGCATCAAGTTCAAAACACTGTGATGTAACAGGGTGACACATGTATCACAAGGGTAATATGGCCTTAAGTTGGCAAAGAATATTATCAAATCACAACCTCTCTTGTGGTATGCAAAAATACCTTTTCTTTATTCATCTCTGGTTCACCCTGTTTACATCTGTTCACACCGAAGCTATTTACCTTCAACTTTGGCCTCAACAAACATAATATTAATATTTCAAAGCGAGTGCCGTCTCATTTCAACCATCGGCTCAACTTCTTTGCAGCATTTTAAGTCCAGTTTCCTTCAGTAATAATGTCTAGTACTTTAAATGTTTGACAGGAAATTATCAAGGAGCTGTTCTTCAGAAGGTTGACATTGGCATTAGCGCTGTCTGCTGTTTAAACCCCACAATTTTTGCTACAAATTTTGCAACTTGAAATTGCGATGAGAACAGAGGGCTGTGTGAACCGCTTCTGAAATTGCTTTGGTTGTAGTTCAAATTGAGCACATAATCACAGCTGATTTACAATGCCATTTTCTACAATCAGCCTTTTGATATTTTTACTCTGTTTTAACTAAGTCTTGTTTATCCCAACCCACTCATTTAGAAGGGAACAGATGGAGGCTGCGGCCAGGTCAGTCAGGCCAGAGGCAGTAGAGGAGATGGGATTTCAGCAGGAAAAAAAATCAGGTTGTTACTTATGTCCAGCTGCTCTTGTTCATGCCATAAAGTGGACATTTTTCTCAATATAATTTTAAAATTCAGTGACTCTTTTAAAGGGCATCACCGCTCTTTGACAGCAATTATCCAACCCAGACAATGCCTCTGCTAAATTTGAGTGTCCACTTCATAACATATAAAAATACATTTCACTTTTTTGTCCTGTCATCTGGCATTAATTTGGATTCCCTTTATATCTCAGCTCATCTAATTAGTCTCTTCCCTTTGCCCTTTAACTATGCAGAGTGTGGGAGGGTGTTGGTAAATGAGCATCTGTATACTGACTCTTGTTACCAGTGCAATATCCTGACAGATGGTTTGGTCGAGGTGCACTCTATAGAGATTTGTGTAAAAATAAAGACACCACCAAAGTGCTTCTGTAACACTCACCCTAATAGTCATCTCCATCACCTTGGAAACATCAGCTCACCTGGGCAAGCTTCAACGCACTCCATACTTGCAATATGGCCCCCGGATTCCCTATGTCTCACACCGTTGTTGAAAGCAGTCTTCTCTTCTCTGGGTAGGGAGGAGCTTTGCGAGACTCCTTGGGTTTTGGTTGCTCATGAAGTCTATGGTGTGGATATGGGGGTGGTTTGCGTCCTTTACGACCTTGCTGTCCGGCTTTAGGTTTGAGTGGGAGGGTCATATGATAGGCTCCTGGGATGTGCCCCGCTGACTGTGCCCGCCGCTCCCTGTTGGGTTCTGGGACAGTGGGTGGTCGTACGTTTGACACTAGAGAAGTCATGCCAGATGTGCGACTGCTCTCTGGGTTTAGGTGACATCCAGGTTTGATTGACGGGGTGAAGGGAGGTGGTGGTTTCAGATATGAGGGGGACTGGTGTGACATAGAGGACGAAGGAGCAGGGGAGGGGGACTCAGGCTGGGACACGGGGCTGTTGGGGTGCTGGAGGTTTACAGTCAGAGGGGACAGGCCTGGAGTGGGAGGGCGTACTGGGAGGGTCCTCTGTGGGGACACCGGGGAGGCCATAGTTTGAGTTAAGCTGTGTGTCTGGTCTAGTGGATGGTTAAGTCCTCCTTTTCTGCACCCTAACCGAAGTGTGTTTGTATGCTCTGAGCTTACAGGCAGCAGCAGGACACTGGGTGGAGACTGGCTACGACTTGTAGTTTGATTGTCTCTCCAAAAGTCTGTGTTTGGTGCAGCCCCTGACGGTCTGTGAATGACACTTCCCACTGTCACTGCACTTGAACTGGAGCTGTTACTGCTGCTTTGAGTTTGAGTCTCTGGCGGCTCCTCCTCATTCAGATCAATGGACGACGTTAAATAGTCGATCTGCTGCACCACCTGGAAACACATGCGATGAAAACAATTAACTTGTGCACACACAGCTACAATCAAGGCTGATTATCATTAGTCATTCATGTTACTTACTATTTTGATGGCTCCTTACAAGGTGACATTTGCATAATTATGCTGCTAACATGACAGGCTAAAACACTTGGCACTTTGTGTATTTCTACTGCCTTTTGTTTCAGGAAATTGCTTATTTGAATAATCACTTATAATGTGGTGGCATGTAAAATTGGTTTAATGAAAGACCAAGCCTTTCTGCATAAAATCATAATAATAATTTCTTGAATGTAAACTGGGTACATTTTGTCCAACTGTCCATTAATAGTATATGGAGAAGATGGGTTGCTTTTTGTGAAATGCACCAAATGAGCCTGCAATAGAGTGCTTAAAACACCTACTTTCAAGCCAAAACACGACAACTATAATGGGAAACGTGTAAGCTACATTTATGTGGGTGTTCTTTTCTTAAAGCATCTCTCTGGAGACAGAAAGAGAGCACTGTACAATACATCTCACTGTTAGAGTACATCTAAAGACCTATTTAAATGTCTGCAGAGTCTGAGCCTAAGTGTATGCCCAACAATGCAAATAATTACACAGATGCATGCCGTAGAGGCATATTTACAATGATAGAGGGGGAGAGGGGGGAAAATTACGCTGGGGAGAGTGTTTGACCTATCTCTCCACCTGCTCTGTGTGCTCTGATAAATCCTCTGCTGGAACACATGAATTATTATTTTGTTCTCTATGTTCAACAACATTCTTGCTGTTATCAAGAGATGACCCTGTTTTTGTAGTTGTTATCTCTATCCTATTTTCAGATTTTAGATAGGGTTTGGCATCTGCTAAATGTGTATGGATTAGTTTGTCTGCACGGGTGCTCCTTTTTAAGGTGATGAAGAGTTGGCCAGCTGCTTAATAATGATGGTAATCCTTTGCCTGGAATGTTCCACAGTATGGCATTAAACTTACCTATCTTGCATATATTCATTTACAGGTGTTTTATTGCTTAAAAATACCTTGAAAAACAAGCATTCTTACAGTGAGCAAACTCGCCTCTCCACAGATACGATCTGTAACTTGACCTGGTGGTGTCGTCTGTTTATCTACATGAAAATAGATGTTAATGCCATACTTTGGAACATTTTGTGAAAAGCAATGATATCTTCATAGAACAGATGATAGATACTCCACCTGAAAAGTTACACAGTGCATCTTTTAAGTATCAAAGGAGATAAAAAGACCAGATGACCCTGCTGTATCTCAAGGCTGTCGATAAAACCAACGATGTTTGACCCTTTGTTGCAACTCGGCAGCACTTCAATGCCTCAGTTATCCGTTTTGTTCTTCGGCCAAAGTCCCTGTGTAGTGTTTGATGTGTCAGAATGCTTTAACTATACATTGCTATGAAACACAAGAGTAGCTCCTACTTTATTCTCTAACTTTGCCAGGCTTACGAGTTCTGTCCAAAATCCTCTTTCACACTAGCGATCGGCTATTAGATAGAATCAAGGGTCTTGCATGTAACAGAATAGTAAAAGCACTTTGAACAAAATATCTGTCCAAAATCTTCTCTGATGCCTTGTGTAACTCTAGTCTGCCAACTCTCCCATAACATGTTGTGATATTTTTATTTTGTGTGGTGTGTGCAGCCTGTTTGCACTCTCATCACTGTTTATGTCACGTTTGAGACCAATGTGAGACTATATGTGTTGCTTTTAGCAGATAAGGCTGGGATACTTAAATATAAATGGATTATGAAAAGGCCCGGGCTCTGGTCCAGCTGTGCCCGAGTAGCATCTGTCCACAAGGAGTTAGTGATGAGAGGGGAAACCACACTGAGGGTGCCTAATGTCACTTTGCATCAGCTCAAAACACCACACCACTGAAGCAAGACCATTTTCTCATTTAGTGCCACCAAAAAACTTAACTAAAAAGAGACTTGTAAATGTTTGAAGAAGACTGTGGCAGTTTTTAAATGCTGACTTCTTCAAATAATCTGCTGAGGGCACACATTTCTAGCCCACTTTGTTATCTTCAAATGCACAAATCCCTAAAGGTTTTTGAGCATAACGCTTCCATCACAAGACTAAATTGCAAACACAGTGACGGTGGAAAATGCCTTTTTTGGGGTTGAATAAGAGCACTGAATCATCACCTCTTTCATTTCTTGTTGGACGTCCCGCAGAGCTCCCAAAACATGCTCCAGATTGTCCATAACACGTTTGATCTGGTTTCGGACTGCCTTCCTTTTACTGTCCCCCACACTGATGCTAATGCGTTGAGGTTGAAACCATGACTGCTCCAAGTTTGTGATACGCTCTGAGCTAGGTCGTGGTTTCCTTGGTCCTCGAAGTGTTTTGGTGCAGCCTGGACCCCTTTGGGCGACCTGGGTGGAGAAAAGGACTCCATTAAGGGCTCGGTCAAGCTGTGTGTCCCTCAAAGATGTCAGATCTCTGTGGC